TTTCTCCCTTTTGTAGAAGTTAACTTGCGTTTGGAAAGATTTTCAATGTGTAAAATGTTAAGGGAGCTGTAACACAGCTCTGACTGCATGGCTGTTGTTTGTCACCATGCTTGTTAGGTAGTGAAAGCAGACCCCAGTCCTCCTTGAACCCTTGTGTTGTTGACATGTCTGCAAAAAGAAGCTGGCCAAGACCAGTCAGCCATGGAGGGAGTTTTTTTACTTTCATGCCCATTATCGGAAAAGCTCTCTCTCCACTGATATTTATGTCTGATTTGCAATTTACATCCTCCATTACCTGTGCCTTGAACTGTAGTGTGTAATAAAGTCATATAAAGAACCGTGTGTCCTTTAGGAAATGGTGCCATTTGTGGGACACAAAGAGCAGAAACTGGGTGGAGAAGAACAGGAAGGGACAGATGGCTTGGGGGGAAGAGGGGCTGGTGTGCTAATCAATGTCTGCATGTCCAGCAAACTCCATGCTGCAGGGAGGATTGATTTCAAATCCGAGTTCAGCATTTATTTCATGTTTGGGCAGGGATGTGTCCTGAGATTTGAGGTGTTGTACTCACTAGTGTTTGCTGGGTTTGGAGCCAACATTAAGACTGGCTGTTTTACAGAGGCATACTCTAACTAGAATGCTAGTAAAGATAAATAACCTGCCTGTGTGTATTTCTTCTGTCACTAAAGAAGTCATCATCTAAGGATATGTTCACAACAGGACTGCCACCAGTTATGTTCGTGTCTTGATAACTCCATAATTAAAAATAAATTATTGTTGGTTCTTAATAGGACTAGTATTAAACTGAATGACTGTTTAATCTCTGTTAAATCTGCCACAAAGAAATGACACCATGAGAAGTGTGAATGAATGATATCCTTTTCCCCCTTTCCTGTTTCTAATTACACATGATGGCACTTGCAGTGTCCCTTGTGAGTGCACAAAATTGGTGCAGCAGGGGAAATGCAAGCTTCCGTATGCTGCAGTCTGTTCATTAGCATCGATTTCTGAGGCACTGCCCCTAAGGATGAGAGGATAATTTCTTTTACAGGTTCTCATGATCCCAGCTTTTAATAGACTATTAAAAATAACTTCTAAATCTCGGTGCAAGCTCAGGAGCAGTGAGAGATTCAAAAAAACTCGTAACCCACCTTTCTGTGGAGCATTAAAGGCCAACTAACCACTCTACTTTGGACCTGTCCTGCCTGTAACACTTACCTAAAGCTGTGCCTTTTGGCTGTAAATCTGTTGTGGCAGGCATTCATTAGCTTCTTGGCTTTCTGCTACTTTTCTATGCTGCCATGGACTTCAATATGAAAGCTGATACTGCTACAATAAAAGTGCCATACTTCGTATATGGAAAAAGCTGTCACTTATTTGCAGTTGTAATATCCTGGTAAAGATTACATAGGTCTTATTTTTATTTTTTTCCTTTCTTTTTCTTCTCCTGAATTGTACTGGCTTTTGTGGTACTGTGTAAAAACATCACTACCACCACACTTAGGAAGTCTTTACTATAACAAAAAATGAAATCTGGTCAATCGTCTAACTGGCTTTGATCCAATTTGTACAGTCCCTTTTCTTAACTTTGAGCAGAGATGTAAATTCTGAGTGTTGGTGAAATACAGGTTTTCTGAAATACAACATTATTATTACAAAAATTGCACCCAAGATACTTTTGTTAATTGTTGGGTTTGGATTTTTTGTTTTTTTTTGTTGGTTGTTTTATCATCTTCTTTTTAAGAAATGGCCATCTAAAGAAAGAATAAAGTTTAAGCCCAGTTAACTTAAGTAACAAATTGCAGTATGTGCATAGTAATGGTAAGTAATGGGAAATAATGTTAAAGGGTGAGAAAACAAATCATAGGTGAACCCAAATTCCAATAGCTCTTCATCTGCATTACTCTAGTAACTACTTTTAAATAACATAAAAATGGATACAGTATTATGAAAGACTTCCCAACAATCACAGAACATAGTGATAGGGAAATTTTATAACCCAGCTTGCTCACTTTCCATTAATGCTGTAGTGGGAGGCTTCTGTCTTGTACTGTTTTGCTCTGAATTTTTGCTCCCTAAGAAACAGGCAGTAAACTTGGCAACGTGTTTTTACACAAGCTTTCCTCTTCATTTTTAAGCCTGGAATTCCATGTCTTGAAACTGTTGTCTGTTCCTTTATAAGCTTTATTCCAGATGCTGTGCGGGCAGGTTGGTTCACATCCCCAAGGTGCCAAGTACAGAAAATGATGGCTCCTTTGCCCATCTTGCTGAAGACAGACCTGCCTGTAGTCTGTGGCTTTTTGCCCAGCTCTGCTGGAACTGGCTGTTGCATTGCAAGGCTTGCCAAAATTTTGCACAATAACAAGCTCCAATCTACATAACACCTGGCCTGTACAAACCAGGTCATTATGAACTTGATCCAAGCTGTCATTCAAGTGGCTTTGTTATTCCTTTCTTAGGCTGAGCCAGTCATCCACAAGCAAGAGCTGGCTTAATGCTTCCAGTATTCACAGTACTTGGGTACCAGTTTTCTTTCTTTGAGCCCCACAAAGCAGACAAGATCCATGTAACAGAATGATCACAAATAGCAGAAACAAGAAGAAATTGATTTGGGCCAATCCCCAGCCTAACAGGTTACTTTGAGTTTCAAGCTCCTTCATGAACTACGGTTGTGCTTTCATTTTCCTGTTGCTGCTTCTTGGTGTCTTACTTCAGCTTTTGTACTCAAATTGGGAAAAGCAGGTTTATTTCATGTTTTACCATCTACATATTAACTCCATACTGATTTCCTACACTTTTTTTTAGGTGTATATGTAGTCCTCTATAAAGAAGCTAAAGCCTCAAGGAAGAGAGTTAAAGCCAGAATATGTGCAATGGAAGGAGCTGGCACTCAGCTGGCTGTAGGACAGTAAGGACTTTTTTTCTTGCCCTCTTGTGCTGCCTCTTCCTTTAATGAGGACTCCTCTTGGGGCTGGGTGGGGGAGGAGGGGGACTTCAGGCTCCCGTACTCTGATGCTAGATTAGTTGTATTAATTCAAACTCTACATTGGCAGATTAAGATAAGAATTGCAACCGTGCCACTTCCCAGATGCATCAACTCCAGATTAACAGTGAGGTGCAATATGTAGCTATTTTTGGCAGACAACAATGCTAGGGCTGTAGAAAGGCAAACAGAGCGTAACTGCCTGTAGCCCAGGGCCAGTTAGGAAAGAAAAAGAAGTGTCTCTCATGAAGAGCTCCTGACATTTCAAGAGGTGTTTTCCATTCTGTATCGAACAAGAATGAGATCTTTCAGAACTTTTCAATAGAAAAAAAGAAGCAGGCAGCAGAGAAGCGAAGGGTACGGCTCTCTGACCTGGGAAGGATCTGAGAGAAAAACCTTTGTGAAACAAATTACCTTGTCCACTTTGACAAATTGAACTTTTTGCACAAAACTTCATTTGGAACATTCCTGACCAGCCGGTGTGCAGTTTCTGGGGGACTTTCCTTCCCCAGTGAACTTCCAGGGAGATGCCTAATAATTCATGAGAGGCAGGACTAAACCTTGAGTCAGTAAACTCATGTTTCAATCTCTGATCTGGAATTCATACCTTATGATAAGACCATCACATCTCTCTGCTTTCGTTTCTACTCTGCTGTCTCCTGCCTTTGTAAGACAGAAGGTCTCTGAGGCAGGAGCACTGGCTAATTATACAGAACCCAACACAACAAATTTCTGGTTTCATTTGGAGTCTGTAGATGCTATGAACAATCCTTGCATTAGGGCTTACCAGTATTTAGTATTTCTGTAAAGAAAAAGATTACAAACATGAGCAATACGACCATGGCCATTAAAACTTTATATACGTTATTCTTGTTGAATGGAAAACATCTGGTGAGTCGATTTTTGAATAGCCTATCCTCAGGGTACAGTGCTAGCACAAAGGACATGTAGTAGTCTGAAAGTGTCTGAGTGTTGTTCGTTTATACCATCTTCACATCAGTGGAGTTATTTCTCCTTCTCACTAGTCATAATTAGTTTCACACCCCACGTAGTGTGAGAATGAACCTTCTTTAACAACATAGAAATAAGAACTGCATGAAAAGCGGGAATAAATTTGGTAGTGATTTCATTATTCGTACAGTCACCTGATACATGCTGAGTTGGATATTATGTATTCTTTTTTTTTTTGTTTCCTGAATAACACCTAAACTTACTGACTGTGTACAAAAAAACCCGTTGGTTGTGCTGAATAACGTTTACTTGAATTTTTAAACAGTGCAGCTGAACTAAACTGAGATAATTCACTTCATGTATTTAAAAGGCGATGGATTCAGTATCTACCCTGCCTCCTTTCCCTGCAATCAATAGATGTTCCCTCCTTAATCGAGGCTTTCAGCCAGTTTGGTGATATCTCACACTAATTAAATTCCTGAAAATATGACTTGGATGACTTTGAAAGTCAATGGGACTAACATTTCTTGGGCAAAGCTTTGGGTGAGTGCATTAGGAATCATCTGGCATTGTTACGAAGCATCCTCAGCAGCACACTGTGCATGGGATCAGAAGGTTGGTGAAAAATGGAATATTGGTGTGGGCTAAATACACAGTTAAACTCGGTATTGGCTAATTTTATGGAGATACTGCATATTTGATATGTGTAAAACTCAGTCTATCTTTGTCTTAAAAGCCTAGGAAACAACTTTCCGGGGGTTTTTGGCCCTCTGCTGCATACGGCTCTCGGGCCAGGCACAGTGGCCCAGGGGCCGGTAGTCAATTGTGGAGCCGGGCGAGGGGGTAAGCGCGGCGGAGACAGCTGCATCCTGGGGACCCGCTCGGGTTCACCCGAACCCTCTTCCCTGCCGCCCCGCTCCTCTCACACCGCCGCTCCCGGCGCGGGCAGCGCTGCCCGGCAGAGGGCGCCACGCGGCGCCGGCTCCGCCGCCGGAGCGGGTCCTGGCGGCCCTGTCGGGAGGGGCGGCCGCCGCCGCGCCTCCATCTTCGCCCCTCCCGCGGCACCGCTCCGCCGCCGCGCCCCTCCGCGCTGCGGGGCTTAGCGGTGAGTGCGCGCCCCTCCCGCCGGAGCGGCCGGCACCGCCCCGCCGCCCGCCCGCCCGCCCGGGCTCGCCCGCGGCGCCGGCACCGCAGACCTTCCCGCCGCAGCGGACCGCGCCGGGCTCGATGTCGCGCCCCGTGCTGCGAGGAGGTGCGGCCGCGCCGGTGGCGGGGGAGCGGGTGGGTTCGGGGCTCTGGGGCGGGTGGACGGACCGGCCCGGTCGCGTCGCTCGGAGCCGCGCGGGAGAAGTTGCTGTGCGGTTTTTTGGGGACCTCTCCGGCCGGGATTGCTTGGCTCGCTGCCGGGCGGGGAGCGCGGCCGCCCGCCCGCCCGCTGTGCTCTGGTCCCCTCCGCTTCACTCTGCCAGTCCCGGGTCCTGCCCCGGCGGGTGTCCGGGGTGGCGGGTGTTTGGTGCCGTTGCACCGCTGCCTCCGAGACACAGGTGAAGTTTTAATGGACATTAGCCGCTTTGGGCAGCGCGCAGTGGGGCTGCCGTCTCCCTGCGCTGTGTGAGGTATCTGCTATGAACTTGCGCCTGCTGAAGAGCTGTTAAAAGTAGCTCTGCTTCTCCTCGCCGAGGTGCCGCTTCTGGGTTTTGTGCTCTTTGTTGTGTAAGATGGCTTATAAAATCATACTTTTTCACCCACCCACCCCAAGCACAGTACTGAAACGTGTTTGAGTTGCATTTTTCCCTCCACTGATTCTTCATTCAGCAATTTTAAATCGGTACCTAGATAACGCTTCTTCCTTAACCACTTCCATTACTCTGAACGTTTATTCTTAATTTATCATGCTTGTCCTTTTGCTTATTTTGTGTGCTGTTCTTAATTCAAGGTCAAACTGGGTAGCGTTTGGACTAATTCGAGTGAACGAGGACTGCTGTAATCGGGTTCCTTCTGCCCTCCTCTTGCCTCCCTCCCGCTCATTCCCCTTCCTGAGTGCTCTGGAGAAGGCTTTTAGAAGAACAGATGAGGGTCGTAAAAGTACTTGCTGACCGCTGCCTCCAGCTCTTTTGTATAATTGAAAGATATTAATTCCTCTAATTAAGGAATCAGTTTAAGGAATTGATTTCTTGAGAGTGTAATTTTTGAAGGAAGTTGTCCAGGTGATGTCTTGTTTGTGTGTGCAGGATAATGTGCCTCTTAGAAATAGGTGTCACTGAAGACACCTAGGAGAGAGAGGATGCTGTGAACGGAGCGAGCGGCTGTTTCTTGTGTCTGGTGCCAGGCAGGTGCCTTGCATGGATGTTTAACTTGCATCATAAAACGTTAAAACTTTAAGGGAATTGATTAAAAAGTGGTGAACTCTCTAGTTTCTGAGAGTTTAAATAATCTGATGTTAAATATATCTTTGGCAGCATTAAAGTAACATGCTTGATTGAGTACAGGGATGTTCTCAAAGCAGATAAATATGGGCACCTCAGGGTGTGTGACATTTGTGCTGGGCTGCACGTTGGCTTGGTTGGTTTGTGGGGATGTGACCAGCTTGGAATGCGTAACATCATGTTTTTGTGGGAGTCGGCACTGGGTGTTAAGTGCTAAATTTCCTGGGGATGGAAGCAGAGAGATTCTGTGCCTGCTTGTACTTTCTACATTTGCTGGGTCGGTATTAGAGCCCTGTGGAAGTTACTGCTTTAACTGATGCGAACATCAACAAGAGGCACATGATCCTGCTGTAAGTCATGACAGGTTTGCTACTTTCTTTGGTGGGACTGGGTAAAGTTTCATTGTAGATTCTTACAAAAAGTATTTAGACACTGTTTTTTGGCAAAGCCTTTTCTGCAAAATCTGGGAAGAGCAGTGCATTCTGCTTTTTTATCTTGGTTCTGTGAGGGGAAGCTGTGTCTACTCTATACGTGAAAAAGGGGTCTTTTTTTTTTCAGATTGCAGCATTTAAAAGCCTTTTCTGAAGAACTGGAAATAAACACCACTCATTAGTAAGCTTCCCTTCTGCTTTGCCATGATGGTGTTTCAGAGATCCCATTTCACTCTGGTAATGGAAGACCAGAAGAGCTGTTAAGCTCCATCTGTATGCATTAGGGTAGGTGGTTGATTTGTACCCTGGGGCCATATTATCTGCTATTTCATTACTTCTGGATCAGTAATGATATTCAGGAAAACTGTATTTGTAGTGACTGCTTTCTAGGGACGTCTCTTCACTAGAAAGTCATACCGATAAGGATTGCACTGACATGTGTTTGCTGACACGATGCTCTGGTAGGAGGCACTCAGGCTGCTGCTTTTAGCTGCCTTTGATGTCACAAAAGTTCTGGGGTTTGCAGGGAAGAGGTGGGGATTCCCACGTGCCTCCTTGCACTTCAGGATAAATTTTTTTGATCTTTTTTTTTTCCCTAACCAGTATTCAGTCTCTTGTGTTGTGCCCTCAGACAGATGAGCAGAGCTCTCATGCCTGTTTTAGACACTTGCTCCTTTTGTATTTGAGCACAGCAGCAACTATCCCAGTGACTGGCAACAGAAGGAAGCATGTGAGGAGCCTGAGCTGAAGCTGGTGAAACGTGCCAGATGCTGCGCATACCCCGTGCCAAGCTTGCTGCTAAATAGCAGCACAAAGGTAGCAATGAGAGAGTGGTTTTAGGGAGTGGAAAACCCAGGTGGTGGGTGCACTTTGGAAGCTTTTCATTCCCTGTTGCTGTTGGTAGGTGGGCGGGGGGGGGGTCAGTGCTGGAAGGTGTGATGTGAATGGTCTTATCCGGGTGTCCAAGGCAACTAAAGCTCGTCTGGCTGTGCAGGCTGTAAGCAAAGAGTGGGATAAGATATTTTATTTTTTTTAAATAAATACCTGAGTTGACAGTGCTGCACCGACATGAATACCTGCGTCTGTTCTGCTTCCCTGCCCTGCGATGCTGCTTGCACCCCCGTGCCTTAACCGGAAGGCATTATGAAAGCTGAGCAACAGGGATGCTATTGCAGATTAAGGAGGTGATGGAAATGCCTCCAGGCTGTTGTTCAGGGAGGTAAGTTCTCTCTTAGAGGTATACGCTGTGCTTTAATGGTGTGTGCTCTCTTAGAGGTATACTGTGCTTTAATGATGTGTGCTATGCTGGGTGGGCTGGATGGGGGGAAAGTGGAGACCTGTCTTCTTGAGCTGCCTGACACGAAGGTGGTTCTGGGAACCGGGAACTTCTCAGGGTGTTTTGTAGGTGAGGGAAACTGTCCTGCTGGACTGCCTCGATGTGTGTTCAGAAAGACAAGTGTTTGGAACTATCTTGAATCTCAGTGATTTATGTTTCAGTGTGGTGAGACAAAAGCATTGTTTTCACAAAACATGTCTGCTGTGTTATTTATTAACGCAATAGAAAATGAGAATTTGTCTTGTCCTGGCTGCAGTTCACAGGTCCTTGTGTTACCAGTGTGGCTGAGGAAAGGGAGTGCTGCTGGGGCTGTTTAAGAGGGGGAGACTTCATGGTGTTTGCTTGTAAACCAGAGCAGTTAAGAAGCTGTGGATGGGCTGTCTTGCGTCATTATAATTGAGTTTCATTTGGACTTCCTGGTCAAAGTTCTCTGTGCTGTCGTGGTGTGTTGCTCAGTGTGTTCTGGGTTGTCCCATGCTGTGAGGTTTTGCTCATATCTCAATCCACCTCTTTGCCTGATCATTGAAAATCTTAATTTATTACTGAGGTAGCATTCCAGATATTGGTAAAGCTACCTTTGCTGTTATTTGCCCCAAGATCATATTAAGTAAATGGGAGGGTGTGCTGTGAAATGAAGGTGGGTTGCCAGGTGAAGCCAGGATGGTGTGCCTCCTGGAAGCCGCGCATCCCAAAACATCTGAAGCTGCTTCTAGGTTGTGATGAAGTGGGTAATGTGGTAGGGAAACAGGTAATGCACAACCCTACAAAAAAAAAACCACAAAAAACAACAAAACAAGAACCCCAAAATCCTAGGGTTTTGTGTCAGAGAATAAGGGTTGTGTCGGTCATTTAAAACCGATACTCTGAAAGAAAGGCAGGTTTCTCTGCTTGCTCTGTGAGTCTGCAGAGGTCCAGCCTCTGAGTCACTGATGAACCTTCCTACCGTACTTCTGCATCTTAAGCACAAGTGCTGGTTGTCTGCGGTCTTGTTTTGAACACAAGAACCAAAAAATCCTGTATTTTGGACTAGCAAGCTTAAGATAAACATGTTGGTAATGCTATTTCTATTTTGAATTCCTCCTTATTGAGTCACCTTTAGGCATTCCTTTGTACTTCTGCTGTATTCAGTTTAAACACTTGAGTATTAAGGATATGCTGCATCATTTTTGTTGGGAATGCTTTTAGTTGCAATTCCTTTCTGTTATGATTTTTATTTGTTAAGCTTTTACTCTGACCAGAACAAAATCTTTTTTTTTTTTTTTTTTTTTTTTTTGTGGCAAAGCTTTTTGATTGCTTCTCTCCTTTTTCTGTTGAGTCTAATCTACGTAATGCGCATATTTCGTGTCTGAAAATGAGCTAGCTACTTAAAATGTTTGGGTTTTTTTGTTTATTCTTTTTTTCCACCTGCACTCACATAGCAGGCAGCTATTTTGAGGAAGAGTGTGAAATGGGAGAGGAAAGAGAGATTCAGGGGCCACTGAGAAACCAAAGAAAAAACTGTGTTAATGATGTAGTAAATCATACCTGCCTAAGCCATCTTCATATTATTTAGTGGATTGTGCCTTCCTGTCGTTGCCTGCCTCTTGCAGCCCTATCCCCTTTGCTGAGGTTTGGAAACTGGTCCTCTGTGGAGCTGCTGAGCAGAGCCAGAAGGTGTGTGTGTGATGTATGGTGTATCCATGCATGTGCGGGGCAGGCGCTGTTGAAGATAGAATAACATGCAAGATAATCTGCTGTCTGATACCTACAGTGGCTCCAATGTCCCTGTTGATAAAGGCAGAGTGTGTAAACCCAGTTGCAGTGCAGAAAAGTATGGAAGGTATTTCAGCTGAGGTGGTGTGACCTGAAAGGGTAGTATGAATGACGAGAGAGTGAAGACTTTGTAGCACTGAAAACTACTTAAAAACGATTAGAAAGTTGTTAAATAGTCACCCTCCTGACTCAGTGCTGAAATAGAAAATGTATTTTTGCAGAAAAGGGGTGTTCTGGTAGTGAATAGTGGGTATTTTTGAAGGTTGGAGAATAGCCTAAATTAATGTGGCAAACTTCTGGTCTCAGCCTTGCTCAGAGTGTCCGTCTTCAGGCTGCCAAGAATGGACAGAAAGATGCTATGTGCCACTTGGCTCTTTCAGACTGGCATCACCTTCCAAGGGAAAGATCAAATGAAACAGTCTCTTCAGTTGTTAGGTATAATTGTGGCTGTTTCTGATCCATGTCCCACTAGAGCTTGTAATACATACTGGTATCTTTTCAGCACATGGTGAGAGCAGCGTGGGTTTCTGTCTGCTGTGTTTTGGACAGGAGACTGTGGAGAGTGTAACTTGCCATAGCACCTTGTAGGTTATGTAAGTATATATAAATATATATATTAAAAAAAAATGTATTTTTTATGTGTATGACAGGACAGTGGTATTCACTCGTTAGACAGATGCTTTTATCTTCCCTTAGGCACCTATTCTCACTGAATTACTGTGTTTTCATTGCAGAATTGATGTCAGCAGAGAGCAGAGCAGTGGGGCTGAGGGTACTGTAATATAGGGGTAATGACTCCTGGGCATGAACATGTGCTTTCTGAGATACTTGGAAAAGTGTAGGCTGCAAATATTTAAGATTGTGTAATTAATTTCAGGTATCTGTAGTAAACACAATATACAGCTTCAGTGAAGGCGAAAGCAGCGAACCCTGTGATTGCAGCTATCTCAAGCAATGATGTGCAGTTTATGCATTTGGTTTTTCATTCATGAAACAAAACAGGTGGTGGGAGGCTTGACAGATACGGCAAACTTTATGACCAGCCCAACAGAAACACGCAGTAGATTTCTGGGTTTCTTCTTGTGTGTGGGCTTTTTTTTTTTTTTGGTCTTGTTTTGCTATTTAAAAATTCATCTGTGCTCCATCTTGTGAAATGTTTTGAAACAGTCAGGAAAATAACCTGTCCTGTGTAGGAATCTGTATTGAATTAAATTACAGTTAATAAAACGGAGAATACGCCCACAACAGAAAATGTAATGGATGGAAGAACAACCTGAAGATGTAGCACAATAAAGGTGAATGCAATTCAGCTCTTAATCAATGGGATTAAAACTTGTGTTTGTGAGCTAGGGAGGCTTTCCGCTGGGATGGAGTCTGTTTTGTGACTGGCTTTTTGTCTTAAGTGGGCTGAAACTGAGCTTCCTTCCAGAGCCTTTCTGGAGCTCAACACGGGTGGTCTATATTCTCTGGGAGAGTAATTTATCAGAGATGAAGAGCAATGTTCTCTGTGTTTGCTGGAATAGCAAAGACAAGTCTAGTTAAAGACTTGCTTTTTTGCGGTAATTTTAAAACTTTCCATTAAAGTCACAAATACCTCTGCTTGGCCTAGATTTTTTCTGCCTCAAGTATTTTAGTGGCAAGTTCAGGTGCTGCATAAAACAGGGTGTATGAGAGTTTCTAGTTAGGAAGGACATGATTTGGTGTATTCAGAGCATATTGCTAGTGACAGGTCACTGTTTCAGAAGAAGTGGAATGACTTAGGAAATTACTGAATTTGTCTAAACATTGCTGGATTTCATGATAGTATTTTTAAGTAAAAGTTTGTTTCAAAGCAGACATTGAACAAAATAATCAAAAGGTTAAATTTCCCTCAAATGTGAAGGGTCATGGAACAGAGCTTGGTTGCCTCTAAATGAAAGCTGTAGTGTAGCTTTCTAGCAGAAGCAAGAAGAAAATAAGCATTCCATTCTAGTTCAGTTCTTTTCTCATTTGGGAAAGGAGATGTGGGGTGTGTGGTTTGGTTTTGTTTATCTTTAAAATATATTTTCTGTTTAACAGAGAAGCCCTTTAATCTCTGGGTCCAACTCTGGGAGCATTGAGGATTGCTGTCTTCCTGTTTCTTCTGCTTTTGTCTTGAGCTGGGAATGAGTCCCTCTTCTCCAGTATCAGGTCTAAATTAGGTATTGAGGACTTATATTTGATGGAGTAGCTCTCAAATAAGTTATTTTCCAAGACTTTTGTGAACCTTTCTCAGTTCTAGATGATGGTCTGGCTTTTTTTTTTTTTTTCCTCTTTCTCTGGATCTTGAGACTGGAATTTGGGAAGGGAGGATTTCTTTGCAGAGGTTGCTGCAGTATCTTATTATTTTGTCTTGTTTTGCTAAACACAGGGACCTGTGAAATGAAACTGAGATGTTTGGTCTGCATACTGAAGTGATTGAGAACAAGTGTATCTGGGACAACATGTTGCACTGAAGCTAATCTGAGCAAATGTAGAGAAGCTTTGCTAGTTGACGGGGAGCGTGGTGTGATTTAATGTGTTTAAATAATAGAAAACTACTTGTATTAGGAAACTTGCAGAGATGACAGAAATTTGGTATTGGTACCAGGAAAAAGGGATGTGGGAGTGACAACCAGGAGATGGTGTCAGTTTGGAAAGGAGATGTGATATTATGAGAGCAAGTTTTGGTGAGTGTAAATGAGGAGAGGCAAACAACTGAGCTCATGTCGGGAAACAGGTTTGGCCTGCAAATGTGTCTAGAAAGCAAATGGATTGAAGCCTCTCAATGACAAGAGGGGAAGAAAAGACATGAAAAAGAGACATGATGCTACTTTGATTTTAGTGAGCTACAAAAAAAGAGGATGTTTTATGTCACTCTGATCATGATGGAAATAGAAACTGGAGAGGAGAAACTTTAACGAACAAAGTAGAGACAGAAGTGATGGAAGCATGTCAAGATTAGTTGGTTTTGCTTTTTTTTTTTTCCCCCACTTAAAATATAAAAACCCCTACCCTCACCCTTCTAAAAACCAAATCCCCGCCCCCCCCCCCCCCCCCCTTAATATATTTAGGCACATCAGTGATTTTATATATTTAGGCACATTGGTGGTAATAGATCATGTCAAATTTGTTTGATATATCTGCTTGTATCATGCTTAATTTCGGCTGGAAGTATAACACTAATTACATTTACTGTCAAGTTGATTGCCTCTTCCCTGTGCAGTGCTGGTTGAGCCTGGCTCACTCTCTGTTTGAATAGGTGTAACTTTTTTCCCTGGCTATTTGGAAGAGTCTCGGCAGTGGGATACCCTTTCTCTGGGTCTAGAGAAATATTAGCTTGTCAGTCTTCCAGATGAGCTGTAATGATTTTCATGTCGGGGAAGATTTAATGCAGAAAGGTATTGATGGGCTAAAATGATCGGATTTGATTTTTGGGAGATTGGGAGAGGTAGGCTATTTTGGGGGTTTATTTTGAGTGTGTGTGCAAGGTGTTTTGCACTTTGTAAAAGACACCATATATTAATTACACTTTGAAAAGAAAATGCAAGATGACTTCATGGGGTGGTTCCGAAAATGACACGCTTGGTTTTCTAGGTATGCAGCCTCTGTGTCTGGCAGTTAAAAAATACACATTAGATGAAGACAACAAATAATAACTGTATTATTTTGATTCTGGGATGCTCCTCATGAATATTCTTGAAAGAGGCAACAGGGAAGCTGAGTAATTTTGTGGAGAAGAGGGCAGGAAGGCTGGGTGGGTGTTACCAGGAATAAAGAAAATGGAGCTTAGCACTGTGGCTTCACTGAAAATAATCACAGCAATAGTCATCCTCCTGCAGAGGATGATGAGGGGGAATTCAGTATGGGATGTAAAACTTTATGCAGCTATTTAAGCATTTTCAAAGTGATTTGCCAGAATACTTCTGAAAGGCGGAACATCTAAACTGAAGTGATTTGGAAGGTCAGGCAGAATTTGGGAAGTGTCTGATCCTTCAGAGGAGCACATTTGGAGCTGAAAACTTTGGGAATAGTTACTATTTTCTGCTAATCTTGAAAAGAAAAATCTGAATAACACTACTGGGACTGAGAATTAAAGGTCAGAAACTTTGAGTAGCAGCATTAATAGCTCCCTGTAAGGGATATAAAGGATCAGAGTCTTTAAGGGCTTGCCTAAGGATGAGAGCAATATTAATGCCAGTAAGCGATGATATAGCAAGACTCAAAAAGGAGGTTGGGGAGGGTAGGTTTTTTCCTTGTTACTCCAAAATAAGATCAACATACTAGTAACTTGGATGTTAACTAAGTACCTGAAATAGTGTGGTATTAATTTATGTGCTGTGTTTAACACTTTCTATTCCATTGTGCAGGATGAAGCTTCAAGAAATAACATAAAGACTTTTTGTCATCTTCAGGTTTGCATCTTCATGTTTGCAAGTTATGCTCTGTTCCCTTAGGTGATGTTTTAATGTTACTGACTCCTATGAAGAACATCTGGTGGCTTTGAACGTGTGAATTATCCTATGTATTCTCCTGCTGTGTTGCTGAGCTCTTATATTAGTTCAGGCAATATTGGAAAAATGTAAATACTGAGGGAATCAGTGATATATGATAGAACTTGCTGTTGAAATGGATTATGGTTTTTCAACATGGCAATAAGTTTTAAGAAACTTGGGTTCCACAGCTGCCTGTAAGGTTCTGTATAAGGATAATGAAGCTATTTCTGCTTTCCTTCTCTCACGGACATATTTGGAAGATTACTTGCATGCTTATTCATGCAAGGAAGGGTTTTGGAAATCAGAAGATTCCCAATGTTGCAGAAACAAATAAAGAGCTTTGCTGTGTCTACAGTTATGTTTGCAAAACAGTCCTCATTGTAAAGGCACTTGATGCTAAAAATTTTGTTGGGCTTTCCTTGCTCCTGAGGTGCTTTTCCTATTCTTTGCCTCCCTTGCTGTGTCTTTAAGAAAAAATTCCTCTTGTCTATAGGGGATGAAGAAAGTTGTGGGGGAACTATAATAATTTGCACATAAGAATATTTTTTGAATGTTTAAAATGGTTTAACTTATAGTCACAGTTGACAGATTTTTTTTCCTCTTTCTTTTGGATATGCTTGTTGATTATCTGTGGAAAATGATTTAAATTTATGTTTTTCAGTTGTCAGAAAGAAAAGTTACTTGCCCGCTGACTGCTTTTTAGGCTAGGTTACTAGGAGCTGGCCTTCACTACAGTATTATTTAGAGTTTGTAAGCAAATCCTGTTGAACTATGTAATGATGTGTTTGGATTAAGCTTCCTCCCTATTTCACATTCTACAGAAAAATATGTTTTCTGTTAGTCTGGTAGGTAGTTGTAGATGATAGAATTTGTTTGCATTTGAAACAGCAGAAGTCTCCTAGGCAATTATTTTAAATTCCAGGTAATTCAAGGGAGGGGGTGGAGTGTACTTCCTCCCTTTTTCCTGCCCAACCTGCTCCTCCTTAGGCTGGGCTCAGGTGAAACATACTTGAAACTGATGGGTATAGTTAAGAACCTTTTGATGCTGATAATTCTTGGATGATGTGTGATAAGTAAAATATGAGGTACGTTCAAAACAAGGTTAAAAGCTTTTTTCCAAAGAGAAATATTTCAAATTCTAGTAATATACCATTAGACTACATAAGTGATCTTGATTTTTTGCATTTTTATCTCGTAATTTCATTGAGTTCTGTAAGGACGGTGCAGATTTGCTTACTGGATCGATCAAAAATGAAGAAGAGAAACACCTAAGCTTAAACTCAACTTTAAACAATTGAGGTATTTCATTAACAGTAAGCTTATTTAAAAATTTTTAGCTGAGTTTGGCAGGGTCAAGACTTATGTGATCAGGATGAAAGTGAAGACCCCATTAGGCAGGTTTTCAAAAGTTAATGTTCTCACTGTAGGCTGAATTTTTGTACTAACAATATCTGTAGTCACACGTTATAGGAAATACCTGCATTTTCTGTAAGTTCAGATCCCCCCAGATAAATAGTTGCTAGCTGAAATACTGGCAGTGTATTTAAGCTTGCTCTGTAGCTTAGTATTACGTGTCTTTGATATCTGGGATTGCTGCTAGCAGAGCTAAAAAGCCTCTGAGCCGATTGTTATCAATCTTTTAAAAGGAGTAGCAAAGCACAAGTGTCAAATCCTGTCTGAAATCTGAATATGTCTTTCTTGGTGTGAGCTTACCTAGAACTTTAAAAATGATACAGTAACTAATATCTGACCTTATAATTAAAACTTTATTAGGTTTTTTAGGTATTAGTTTAGTCATGATACTTTTGCAGTGTAACGCTCTCGGTGGCAGAGCTTTTTGTATTCTCCTCAATGGATAAATGATTAATGGTCTCAACACTGACTGCTGGATCACCTTGTAAGAGGTCTCCTTCATCAATCTGGCAAGGGGATTGTATGGCAGTTTGCACCCTAATTACAGTCCCCAGCTGGGGATGTGCTGCTTAACAGATTACTTGTAGAAGTACAGTCAGTGCAGATACAGATGGCTGTGGAGTGATTTGACACTTGGGTGCAAAAATTAGATTTCCCTTCTAGAAAAAAGTCCACTTCCTATAAACAGTGCAACAGATAAAAATGTTTAGCTGGAATTAACTCTGTAACTTAAAGGTTTAATAATAACAGCAGTTCTGTGTTTCCCTGTTTTCATCTCTTTCCCTTCCCTTCTCTTGCAGTCTTACAGACAAGGGCAGTATTGCGAGCCAGAAATTTTATTACCGATAGAAACATTAAGGTATTCCACGGGGCAAAGCAAAAGTGATTCAAAAGGTGCTTTTACAGATAATAAGTTTCAGCATTGAACAGTTTACCCAGAAGACAACAGATTATTTCTAGTGGCCTGTCATTATTGTTGTCCTTTTTTCTGGCTCATTTGTGGTTAATGCTGCTACTCAATTAAGATGTATTTTGATAAAAACTATGAATGACAACTGCCCTGCTTCCTCCAAATATATTGCTAAGCGTACGCATATGTGCCTATTGCTCAGTCAGACAAAAATAAGTGTGTTGCTGAAAAACAGCTTATTTAAGGACTAAGGCATGAAGGAAAACTTGCACAGCGTCCACTCAAATACAAAAGCAAAGCTCGTGTTTTGGTATTCAACAATGGGAGGCTTGTGCTTCTGGAAGGATGTAGTTGCCAAATCATTTTGCGTATATATATCAGTGTTGTAATAATCAATATTGCCAAATCAGATAACATCATGAATATCTTGTGGATCTGGTAAAAAATCTGATTTGTTTTTTTAATGGTAAGCATTTATTTTTATGACTTAAAAGAAAAAAGCCTGAGGATTGTCTGGGCACTGATAGCTTCCCAATGGGTGTCATGTACTTGAAGGATAAAGGCAGTGGGTACCAGTAGGTTGGAGGTAAAAAAATTGTACTGTTTGTGCTTATATCCTGAAGAAATAGAATTGGTGAACTGTAGGGATTAGTATTTTGTTTAGGACAGTAGAAACCTTCAGTTCTGCATTGGCTGCTCTGGAGGTGTGGGTATGTATGTTTGGCTTTGCCTAACTTGAAAGAAGGGAGGGGGGAAAGCTCCTATTACTCCATTAAAAAGTAGTCAGATATATCTGACCTGTATTTGAATGCTATGGAATGGCAGCAAATCTTGTGAGTCTTCTCTCTGTCTGTGAGCTTAGCTCTCTTGGAGTATGAACAGGAGCTAATAGGTGTGTGTAAAGCAGGAATTTATCACTGTCTTGCCCTAGTTTTGGAAGAAAATCTCCTCTGAATTTTTTACTCCTAGAGATGGTCAGAAAAAGGTTGGTTGCAGTGCATTTACTCTTTCTTTCCCCACAAGAAATGGAGGAATTGACCTTAGAGTTGTGGAAATCACATGCGCTGTATGGTGAAAACTCTTCTGAAAGATCATTTGAAAGGTTCTGGTATCTTCGAGCCAGGTTTG